AGAATGATATTATTCTCATAAAATTGATAAATATTTTTTTTAACATACTGTTTAGTATGGTAATTAAAAAAATATATCGTTAGAAATATGGTATCTACATACGTATTGTAAATGTGTTTATTTTTCTTATCTTATTTTATGTATGACTATATTAAAATAAGAATATATTACTTCTCTCGAATGACGTATGTGTTTTGGTAATGATAGTAGTGATAATAATGGTAAAGAAAAACAAACAAAACTGCAAAGAATAATATAATCATACTTGATAGAATAGAAACTTTTCAACTTAAATAAATTTATAATTGGTTTGATCTATCTATTTCTAATGTGTCTTCTTACTAGTTTAAAATAATATCGAATACACAAAAGCTGCAGTTGCACCTATGCATGTCTCTTGATCTTTTTAATATACCATCATTAAACATGTGAAAGATCAAGTTTTGTAATTTTGATCTATGTGTGTAATGCAAATAATCTAAAGAAAAGATTTATTCAGTTATAACTGATGAAGAAATATACATATATACAAGCAGAAAATATGTAAAATAAAAAAACTAAACTAATGTTATATTACAAGTGAGTCATTAATTTCGTTTTGAGGACAAGATATTGAGTTAAATTGAATTGAAAAAAGGTATTAGTTTGACGTTTTTTTCCTATTTCGGGTGTAAAAATAGGCTCTTCGTCATAATTCTATCAACCTCATCTATTCCAATCCATCAGGCATTCCAGGTAACTTGAAAGCTTCAAATAAACATTCACTTGGCGTAGCAAAACCAATAGATTTCCTAGTGGCATAGTTCACTTCACTTCCACGAATAATTCCAACGACACTCTTTGTTTCTTCATTCACAATTGGTCCACCACTCGATCCATTCGAAGGTGGATGTGAATACATCATAGCACTCAATTCATCATATGTACCGGTTGCTGCTTCCTGACCGCATGGACCTTTATAAAATAAGACTTCTGCTGGTTTCCATGAATATGAAATAGTAGGACGAGAAGTTGAGGTGAGAGACGCTGTTACAAAGTTATATGATAATAAGGACGTAGATTTTGGTGCAGGATATGGATCGACTGCTAAGGATGGAATTTGTCGTCCTCCTTGCAACCTAAGTAAAACTATATCTGATCGAACTAAATGTGATTCAATTGTTGCAACTGGGATCAGTTCTCCTTCATCAGTTATTACTATTGATTGTGACTTCTGATCAAGTTCTGAACAGGAGAGATGTCGAGCAGCTTGATAAAATGTATGTGCACATGTGACAATAAGTCCTCCATCTAGTACTGCAAAACCACTTGCTACAATCACTTCATTTTTTAACGGTATGAGATGAGCGATGGTAACAACTGCTCGAGTGAAATCATATTTAGTAGTAATATTCTTACGTCCAGTATTTTCGTATGGAAGAATATATGGTAGTTGTACATTTGCATTAGAATTGAGTTGTTCAAGAAGAGTCGTGAAAGATGTTGTTGCTTTTATTGATTGATTCTTTAATACATAGTCAATTAGAAACGTATTTAACAAATTTTGTTTAGGAGTTTCTAATTCTGGAGTTGATAGAGTACACTTGGAGTGATTTCTTGAAATAAATAGAACGCAGGAGTTGATTTTTGAAATCAAGCTAGAAGTTGACCGCGATAATAGCTTGATTGAGAACATATTTATAAGATGATTTTATCTACAACTAAGAAGATATTTGATTGACTAATCAATCTCACAAAAAAGATATTGAAAATAAATCTATCTCATAGTCTAAAATGAAATCATCTTACAATTTTTCGACGTTATAAAATGAACAATATCGTGTTCTATTAAACTCATCTTTGGTACTAACTGAATGATACTTTTTCAATATCGTTTTATCATTCACTAGTGTCTTTCAGTGCATCTGCAAAATTATATTTTTTCCTTTCTCTATCTTTGTCACATTGCATTCATTAATGTTTTACAACTTTAACACAAATTAGTTTTCTTGAAGAAATACTTTTCACTATTTGCTACCATTAATCAATTAGTTTTAAAAACCATTCTATATTTTGCGAATAATGACACAAAGTTATGAGTAAAAATAATTATTTCTATCATTTGTCGAGCAATTGTAATAAAAACTAACCATAACGTAGTACTACTTTTGATCTCGATTTCACATATGAATCACAAGCAAACGAAATAGGAAAAAAGAGAATGGTCATCAAATTGGCTTATGACAACGAAGCGAATGTGCTGCTGTCTGCTGGCGACAAAATACACTAAAGATGTCTTTATTGTTAATAGTGATGATCTCTATCTTTGCGTTTCGTTAACATATTGATTATATATAAATCAATTTTATTTACTACTACGTTGGTAGAGCAAAATAGAGTACATTAATCGAAATCATATCGAATGCTAAACATATATCGCGGTCTAATATTGTTGAGGTGTTTGAAATATTAATTAATACTAATTCATAAAGTAAAGCTAAAATAACACTCCTATTCAATAAATCTAAACATTAGAGATCACTATCAATCATCGCCGGAGAGTCTATTAGAATTTTAAAAAACAATTGTTTAGGCTGGGTAAATAGAAGTTTTGATATGATTATTTACGTGTTTGGATTAATATTCTTTCATTATACTGCTCCTTGTTGAATTCTTACTCTATGAGTAGCAGTTTTTTATAAAATGAAACCGTTTCTTCACGGATCAGTTCCACTGTCCACCCCTACTTGTATCAGTTATGGAGATCTACATTACATATTGACTTATTATGATGTTAAAGATCATTTTAGTTGTAGGTAAGGATACATCTTTTGGTACCTCACCTACACCTATCTTTGACGCTTCTATACACTCTATTATATAGTCTCATATGCCATTTTTATTGAAGAAAAAGAAAAATATTATGACTAGTATGAGATATATTCTTGTTAGTTCACTACATTAAATAAAATATTAGTTGAAAGTTATAAAAAATGTTTTTGAAAGTTCTGTTTGTCTATTCTATTTTTTGTCACAGTTACAGACATGAACAGAAGAAGAAGAATGACTTAGATGACAACCATTACCAACACGTTTCCAATTGTTGCCATCACGCTTCCAATCACTACAGCCAGCACAGGTACGACAAAAATGACCACCACAATAACAACGAATATCGGCTTTTTTGTATTCTAAATTAAAAATTCAAATCGTTACAGTATAGTTCAGTTATATATTTTGCTTTATCATTTTCCAAATGATCTGATGACATGCATCAAATATTTAACAGTTAGAAAATACTAGCTAATATTAGCAAAATTTTTCTTAACACTGCTATTATACTTAAGAGGACGGTATGCTTCAGATTATAGAAGAAAACAATAATCATATATGTTGTTCGTATTCAGTTATTGTTTATAACCACTTATCATATCATTTATTAACATTGTTAAAGATAATGGTAAATCTGCAGTTGCGGTATTCAATAGCTATTTACAGCTGTCTTCTATATAGTGTTTATAAAACTTTGTAAGTAAGTATTTATGATGACAATAAACCAGCATTATAAACTGTTGTATTATCTTAGGTATAATGGTTAAATATAGTTATTTAGTTCTTTCATATAACTCTAAGAGCAAAGATGTTATTGCGATAAATGAGTCTGCGAATTTATATACAGAATTTATTGAAGAGGAAACCGAGTTCGAAATAGTGCACATATAATTTTTATAGAAAATCATCTTCAAAAACTAAGAAAACCAAAATAGTATGCATTTAGTGTACTTCTCACAGTTGCATCAAGTAAATAAGTAACATGTTTTTTGCTTATACCCTTACTCCGTACGTTTTTTATAAATAGAACTGAAAAACGACTGTATTCCTCTTTTAATTTGATGAAAAACTAAATTTGATATATTAGAATTTTTTCTTGTTTTTCTCAAGCTATATATTATTTTTTTAATTAGTGTAAGAAATGTGTGCGATAAATTGTAAACGAAAGGAAAGAATAGAAGAAATCAAATCAATAAAAATACTACAAAGCTGACAACCTCTTGCATCAATTAAGAAAATTAAAAATGAATTACGTTATATCTCGTCTCGAAGGAACATCAATAGTTATCGAAATTTTCGACTTACTTTCAAGTGTTTCGATCAGATCTTGAATTTTTCCATCTGATCCTTGCTTGCAACTTTGAACACTTTGCTCAATTTGATTAATTCTTTCGTTTGTTGGTTTGTTATTTGGTTCAAATTTTTCTTGAAATTCATAATTTTTTATTATTATTTGTTTAACTTGTTCTTCGGCCAGTTGCTTGTACGCTTCGTACTCTTCTCGAAGCTGTTGATGAATGCTTGATAAATGTTGAATTTGTTGGCTTGTTGCATTTTTATTAGTTTCAAATTGATTTCGTAGTTGTCGAAACTGTTCTTTAAGACACTTGAATTCTGTATGTAGTAGATCAGTATCGCGTCTCTTGAAATTCATATTGCATTCAGAACATGTCAAATCGAATAAATCACACTTATTTTCGTGATCAATCAAATCTTTTTTTGGTAATACTGTTTCACAGCCACGGCATGATTGCTGTTGATAACCACATTCCGTTTCGTGTGCTTCTAATGCTTCATAAGCAATGATCTACAACACGAAAATTAATCAGCATATATATATCTTAATTTCCTTTTTGACTATATGTTTACCTCTGTACATCCATGTGGATGGTTAGCACATGCGATATTTAGTCTGCCTAGTTGCTGTAAAATAAATCGAGGACATTTGCTTTCGACAAACTCTTCACATCCGTTTACACATTGTTTTGACTGTTCATCAGATCGATCCGCAATACAAGCCGAGCAAAAGGGTGTCGAGCAATTCTTACAGACAACCGGCTTCCAAAGAATTTTCTTACATAATGCACAGGCAAAATCTTCCAATTTTAAATCATATGAACCATTGATACGATTGCGTTCAATACCATGTTCATCGTGATCTTCCGTCATCTAGAAGAATAATCTGAAGCAATAAAAAGATAGAACGATTTTCAACATTCCAAATTTGCTTTTCGTAAATCGAATCAAACATTTCGATGCAATAAGTCTACCTTGCTTACTAGATTTTTTTCTTTTTCTCGTACGATACTGTAATACCTAAAACTTGAATATAATTGTTGAAGTTGAGTGTACATAAAAATGTATATGAGTCGCGACTGTTTGAGTAAAAGCGAAGGTAATACTAGACCATGACACAGATATAAATTCTATTAGTACCATCTTTGTAATGTTAATATGTGAATCTATACTTTTCTCATGCTCTGTGGTAATCTATAATAATGCAGCTATCAACTTAGAGTAGTGTGTGTACATAAATTTGGCACTTTGTAATAACAATGTGTACTTATTCGATTTTCTATTTAAACGATGTAGTAATCTAATAAAAATTCTTTGTTCTATTGTAACTTTCTTTTAATAAAAAAATAATACAAAAATTTCTTTCGTATAGTATACCATAAAACATACAGCAGTAAGTTTCTGTATATTTTTCTGTTTTTTTTTAACTTTTGTTTTAAAAGTTATATACTCATATAGTGTATATAACTCAATTTCTGTTAGTTCTTGCTATGAAAAACTATTCACTTCTAGTAATATTATCTATTTTAAACAGATTGCACAAAGGTCATAACTGAATATATTTACGCCTTCCAACAAAACCCTTTGTTTTTTATATCGTTTTATACTTTCATACCTTTCAATAAATTGATTACTGAATAAAAATATGATACAAGAGTTTTATTACAGTATAATTGATACATCAGAATGAAATAAAACTTTTATGTATTATATTTCTTCTTAATAATAAAAATATAGAGAAAAGTAAGACTTTCGTTCTCATACGTGTACGTCTTACTATTTCAAGATATTTAATTTTTAAGGAAGAGTTAAACAAGCGATATTAGTTATTATAAAATTTAAAGTTTGGATATATTTGATATCTATTTATCTATTTGAAACTCCAAGTACTATGTAGTTCTTCATTACTTACATTGAATTCACGAATGTTTTGTATGATTCTTGATAAAAGTTTTTATGATGTTTTTTATACTTACCTTTGATGAAAACAGTCAAGAAATGAATGTGCTGTTGTATTTATTTTTATTGACTGAAAAAAAGAATAAGCGTTATCGTAGATATTTGTCTGTCCAAAGCAAATCAATAAAAGAAATAATGTATATATCGTCTCTTGTATTTTAATAGTGATATACAGAACACAATGTTTCCTTAGTTATTATCAAGGTACTTCATTTTTTTAACAGATCAAATACTATACAGGCAACCATGTTAATATATTTCGCAACAGTCCTAGTATAGAAGAAATTCTAAGGAAATATTTAAATCCACTGGTATTCTCAAAATGGTTTCAAATAAAGAGAAAAGGTTACTCAGAATTCTTTCGAATGTAAAAAGTTTCTGCAATACTTGTCACGTTCGATCAATGTATAATATAATCGACGTTTAAGAAATGAAATCCCTACTCAGAATAATTCGTAGAGCAATAGATGATATCAGCATACTATTATTATTCTATCAATTATGCAGTTTATTTAGAATAAACATTATTTGATAGAAAAAAATGATTCGTAAAAAAAATTCATAGCCAATGCCAACTAATACGGATTCGTCCAGCTGCAGTACTTCCTATTTTCGCAAAAGCCGCTTCATTAAGATCAACATCACCCTGGAAAATAAAAATCTTTAATTATATAGTTCTTTCTTTTTTTTCCAACTACATACAGTTTTGCATCCAGGGCAACGATCAACAATAGCAACGTCAACAGTACCAGAAGGACCCTGAACTCGCATTCGTTTACCACAAAGACTATTTTTATTTGGATTGCCATTTGGTGTATGTGGATCGAATTGATGAGCATTTAGAGCGGCAACCATATCAAAACGCGAATGAAGTGTACCACAAGCAGTATAACCCACAGCGACTAATAGATAGTGTACATGCATAATAATTAAGATATTAAAAAAAAGTGCTTACCATCGTAGTGTGTTCCTTCTCCATGAAATATAGTCGAACTACCTCCTCCACCTCCTCCGGAACATGGTCCACCCTGACAATTCTCTCCACAATATGATTCTCCTACTCCACAATAACCCCATTGAGATAAACACATGCTTGAATCCTGACAAACAGCTCGTGGAGCCACTGCTAAATAGTCAGAAGTTTGTCTACATAGACCCAATGAAGTCAACAGTAATGTATAAAGAAGACAAAATGGTATCTTATGAGAGACCATTTTGAGTTTGAAACGTAAGATTCTTTGAAGCTTTTTTCTCTCTTAATAATCGATACAAACAGAGCAGCATTACATCAATATCATTTTTAATATAAATAGCATGGGAATTATTACATCTGTTGATTAAAACTGACTGATTCACCTCGAGCTGTGAAAATGAAGTCAGCTGTATGAAAACTTTGTTTTTATCAATCTCAAGAGAGTATGTCTGCACTGCCTATACTTCTAATACTGACGAAAATAACGATTTGTTTTGTTAAAATTTTATTTATTTAAATTATTTAAGTCTATCTAAGTACAAATTCATCAGCCAACTTTTTAATACTGTGAGTGTATGCGAATGGTAGTAATGAGTTAATCATATTCATATCAATTCATTTGAATATAATCACTTTTACCGAATAAAAAGATATTTATTCGATTACTATACTACTTAGAGCAATTTAAAAATAGAAACAATGATGTTGTAATTCTTTATCAAAAACGTTAACAAATTTATTCACTATATAATCTAATAGAAAAGATACTGCTCTGTTCTTCGATGCTATTTAATTTTGGATTAAGTATTGTTATCTTGTCTTCTTCAATGTCCAATCATCCGCACATACATATATTCTTTGATCTAGATGCAATTGTTATTATTGAAAAGAAACCGATGTTTCTGTTTACTGATATATTTCAAAATGTTATTAGCAATTGAATATAAAGATAAAAAATCAGGAGATTTAATTAATTCGGTTCCTTGTCACGATATAGTTCGACTGAATTTTTGAATATATTTAGTTTACTCTTTTCATTTTCGTCGTGAAAAATTTCGAATGAATAAAAACAAAAAATTTTGATTCAAAGATCTTTAATGCAATATATTATTTTTTGAATGCCACTATTTGATTTATCTACATTATAAAGTTATTTCATTGTAATGTTGATGTAAAAAGTAATTGCAACACATTTCAGATCAAACTAAACATTTTTATTCATAAAGACAATGCGATATCCTTTGTCAAAACATTCAAGATCAGTTTTATACTAAACTTTTCGATTAATTTTTGAGCTATAGAATACTAGTAGCTAATTAAAATTATTATCCTATTAGGAAAAAAAATTTATAATTCGAAGTCTTAATGTCTTCATCTGGAAATGAAGAAATATGTGTTAATAATTGACAAGCTTCTAATAAGTTCATGCTTTATCTTACATAATGATCTCTGTATGATCAACATATCTGTGTTTACATACTAATATGCTTCTTACGACATCATTTCTCTCCAATAGAACCTTTTTATTCTTTCTCTCCATGATAAGAAGATTAAGTAATGATAAAGGAAATGACGTTCTTTTCCTAATAAAGAATGTGATGTATAACATCGCTATTTTTGTCATTTAAGTTGAACATTATGAATATAAGAGTCATTATTTATCCGAATGCATTCTTCTAGATGACTCAGTGTCTCGTGTGCTCTACGACGCTTTCAATAACGTCTCTTTCAACAGATATTTATCCTCTGATTGCTCCTCTTCGTCCTGACTGGTCTCCACACAATACTCATTTACGTCAACTCACTGGTGGTATCAACAACACCGCATTTGGTCTCTTCAATAATTTAGATCAATCAGACGCTCTTGTTATTAAAATATTTGGATTACACACAGAAGTATTTATTGATCGTAATGTGGAACTAAATGCCATATCTATTCTGTCAAAATATGAACTTGCTCAACCTATTCTTCTTCAATTTAATAATGGAATTATTTATAAATTTATTCCAGGTAAAATCTGTTCAAGAGATGACATTAGAGATATAAATATTGCTTCACTTATCGCTCTTCAAATGGCCCAATATCATTCAATCCCTCTTCGAAATCATAAGCAAAAACCTTGTTTGATTCCATTAATACGAAAAATTTTGTCTTTAATAAGCGATAGTAAAAATCCACCAGCAGGTAAATAAATTATCTTTCAAGATGAAAATATAATCTATCATCTTACGTTTCATTATAGAATTCATTTCTCTTTCATCCGATGTCGATTGGATAGAAAAAGATGTATTACCTCAACTTATTCCTGATCCTCGGTATGGTATAGATTTAGTCTTCTGTCATAATGATCTTGCCTGTACAAATATTCTCTACAATTCATTATCTCAATCAGTTTCATTTATTGATTTTGAATATTGTACAGTTAATTATGCTCTATTTGACGTGGCTAATCATTTCGTTGAATACGCAGGTTATGATCAAATCGATTTTGATCGATATCCAAAGAAAGATGAACAGTATCGTTGGTTAAAAATTTATTTTGAAGCACGAAACTTAAAATTTGAGAATCAAGAGAAAACTTACCATTTGATCAATCAATTCGCTGCTTTATCTCATCTTTGTTATGGTCTATGGGCACTTGCTCAAGTTAGTTTCGCAAGAGCTGATAGTGATTATGCATCTTACAGTCAACGCCGACTCAATAGATACAGAGAATTAAAATTAATTTTATTCAACAAATGGTTGCCACAATGAACTCTATACATAATTAACTTATGCTCGTTGTTTTTTGTGTTTTATTGAATGATAGTATTGTAAATCTGTATCATATATTGTTGTATATAAAAAAACAATTGGATAATTTGAATAGAGAAGAAAGATCTCAGTATAGGGGAACCGATGAAATATATACATATCTATATTTAAGATAAATGTATCGTTTCTTACACATGGTTTGTACTGAATGTAAGAGGAGTATACATTCGTAATTATTTATGCTCTTAATATAATATAATTTTCAAACGTGTCAAATCATACTTTTTAAATATCTTCCGTATATATCATGTTCAACAGATGGCACTAGTCATCGATTCTATTAATCCTTCATCAATCTGATTTGTGAACAAAGAATATGTATCGATCAATGAGATGTTATTAGTGTATACAGCTTTATTGCCTTGTCTTCTTTTCAATCAGGATTTTTTCATTTCTAATTGACAAATTATTAAATTATGGCATTCAAATTTGCTTTGGTTGGATCAACTATGGCTCTTGTTGGTTATACAACATATAAATATATGGCAAAACCAAATTCAAGTATTATTTTTCATAATAAAATTCTTTAAATCGTACAAGAAAGTTTTAATTTAGCGATTTATACTGAAAAACCTTTCTATGAAGAAGCTCTCGTATTAACTCGTGGTTATAAACCAATAACTGAAAAATTAGTTGAACCAATTCAACCACTTAAAATTGATACATCAAATGAATTCAATAGTCTTTCACTTCTTGGAGCACAAGTATAATTAACATTTATATTTATTCATATCAACATAGACAATTATTTCTTCTAGGTTCAAATTCCAATTCGAGGTACTAAAAGATCGGGTGCTGTTTATTGTTATGCAACACGAGATTCATTGGATGATGAGTAAGACGAAAAAATCTTTTGTATATCTTGTAATGAAATAATTATTATTTTAGTTGGCATGTAGATAAATTAGAATTTAAAGCTAATAATCAACCTAATCGTTATCAATTCTATGATCGATCATTACGACGTGTACCAACACCATCTGAACAAGCATTACTTGATTATAAAAAAGAACTTGAAGAGAAACGAGCAAGAGATTCAATGGTTTTATCTTCTACACCAGCTCCTGTGTAGAAAAAATTTAGATTTGTTTTGTTTTTTTCATATAAAATAAAAATAAACTCATAAAAATTACTGATAATCTTTCAATAGGAATAAATTCTTTCATGTCCATAAATCAGTTTATTTAAAAGCATAATTCTTTTTTTATTTCATGTAAATTTTTTGTTTTAGATCTAATAAATCATGGCAGACGATGATTCCATGAGTGATGATGATGATCAACTTAATGTAAGCAAGAAAAGAGAAAATATTTTTTTTCAAAATTAATTTATTTTGATAATTTAATAGATTCCAGATAATACGAAACATATTACATCAATTCAATTAGGTGAAGTTGATATTGATTGTTGGTTTCATTCACCATATATTGATACAGAAGATGGTTTACACGACAAAAATCGTACGATTGAAAAACTGTTCATTTGTGAATATTGTTTAAGATATTTTCTAAATAATAGAAAATATCGTCAACATATGGTAAATAAAGTGGAAGAGAATGATCCCTTATTTGTAATATGAGAAGAAGGACAGAACTTCCCAGGTAAAAAAATCTGACATCAGATCTTGCAATCTGAACGAAATCTGACAAAAAATCGTAGTCTCTGAAATCTTGTATCAATTCATACCACATTTTTCTTGAAAGATCTAACGCGCCTGTATTTTCCAGTATAATTTTTAAGTAAGATTGTACGAAGGTATTAGTTTTAATGAAATATTTTGGTGACATTCTACCGTATAACAGAATCTTATAAAAAATTTCAAGTACGATTTCTTATCCGATCCTTGTCTGATTCCATTAGATCAGATATGATCGAACATACGATTTCTACAAGATCTTGCTATCTGATTATTCGACCTGGGTTGATATGGAATATTCTACAAAGGAGTTAATATCACATACGATGATGTATAGAATGTTCTTGCTTTTTTAATTAGAAATAGCAATCATTTAGTTTACAATACATTGAATGTATTAATCACTCACGCAAATGCGTAAGAAAAGAAATTCATCATTGCATAGAAAAATATTTCCGGAAAAACAGTATGACAGTGAAAAATTCTTTAACGTGAAGGGTATATCTGCTATCGAGGGATATCGTATTACTTGCTATACAAAAATTATCAGCTTCCTCAACTAAAACAATTAAAATACATGATGCAATGATAAAAAATCATTCTTAAACGATTGCTAAATAATGCAATATAGTTTTTCATTTAGAAATTATTCTAGATATTGTTGCGAGAGGATGATAAAAGGAATTTTTATCAAATATTTTCAATGACTTCGGAATCTCTATTTCTGTAATTAATCTTTCCTCAGTCTAGACAATATTCTTCAATTTTTTGAAATGAATATATGATTGCAATAGATTTGAATCGTTTTATATTTGAATTATTAGAATGAATGTAATCGTCGTCACCCTCCTGGTCGCAAAATCTATGAAGATGCGAATGGTTTGTGTGTATATGAAGTAGATGGATGTGCATCTCAAGTAAACTTAAAAGAAAGACATATATTTCTTTGAATTTTATTTTCATAATATATTTTAGCTTTATTGTCAATGTTTATGTTTATTAGCAAAATTATTTCTTGAACGCAAAACAATTTATTTTGATGTAAATCCATTTCTTTTCTATGTTCTTGTTGAATCAGATAAACGAATAAAAAATGTACAGCATATTATTGGATATTTTTCAAAAGTAAAGATTTTTCTATAAAAATAATTCATTGAAAAACATCGAATTATTTTTTATCTTTCTAGGAGAAATTAAGTGATGAATGTTACAATCTCGCTTGTCTAATGGTATTGAATTTATTATAGGAATTATTTTCGATAAATTATTTTTTTCGTAGATATTACCTCATCATCAACGACAAGGTTTTGGTCGATTTTTAATCTCATTAAGTAAGTCTAAATTTTTGAATAAAAAAAGAAGAATTTTTCTTTTGATAATCCTTCTAGGTTATGAATTAACTAAAATTGAGAAGAAAACCGGTTCACCAGAAAAACCATTATCAGCTCTCGGACAAATGACATATAAAAGTTATTGGCATTCAACAATATTAACAAAACTTGAAGAATATCGTCGTTCACAAATACATGCTACTGTTACACAATTAAGGTTTATTAAAAACATTTCTTTTAATATACAAGAACAAATCTATTATTTTATTGTGTTTAGTATTGATACGGGTATTCGTATTGAAGATGTTATTCAAACATTAATTGATCTTCGAATAGCTCATACGGGAGCAGAAAATATTGAAACAAACTATAGACAACAAGAAGCACGCGATCAACGACATAATAATCGTCGTCGTAATCATAAATATGATGATGATAATAATAATACATTGAATTCCACTTCAGTATTAGCTATTGATGAAGATGTTTTACATACAAAACTTATTTGTTTATTAAATGGAACATCATCATTGAAGCATGAGCAAAATATTTTTGATTCGAATTATTTACGTTTTATTAGTCGACGATAAAAAAAAGAAATATGAAAATTTTAAAGAAAAAAAGTCATTTGTATATACGAATTAATTCTTTCTGTTAGAAGAGATTGAATAGTTTATTTTTTGTTTTCTGGAATTATGTATATAGAGAAAGAGTAGATTGTAATATGAATCTCGACGTTAAATTTATATTTAATATTGATGGTAATAAAGTTATTCATGAGTATTACAGAAAAATCCTCATAGTTTATTTTAACAAAAAGTAATTCTACTAATGTCTCTTTTTATTATGTTTATAAAGCATTTATTATGATGAACATCTCTATTAGCATTACCTAAGAATGCATTGGTTTTGATAATGCTATAGGACTGTTATGATCTTAGCAAATTGTTTACGTCTGTAAGATTATATTGCGCTCTAGCCGATTTTGAGGTAGTCGATACAATGGTATTTGAACGATGTATTATAGATCATACCTATTACTGCAGAGGTAAACTCCTTATTATGTTATATATAAAGATAATGTTTTTTTTAGAGAACCAAATATTTACGTAAGGATATGGATGGAAAAATTATCCGATTTGATGTTATATAAAAAGGTCATCTATTTCTAAAACTGTACTAAAAGCAAAATGGCATAAATATCAGTACGATATCCTCAGTGGGTGTGGGTGTGAATGTCATCTAATCATAGCATCTACATTTTCACGTTCATCCACATCCTAATTAAGATTAGAAGAATTAGTTTATCTAAATTATGATGTTGTACATAGTTCTTGTTTTTCGATTTATATCGTATCTGAGATTTCTTTAACAATTAATTTATTTTATTTTAACAATAAATAAAAATATAATAATAATAATAATTAACTCTCTAAATTTCTTCATTTAATAATTAAATAACACAGTCATATATCGAAAATAATTCACATAATTATAAATCATAATCAATAAATGCCTGTTCTTTACTTATGCATGTGAATGTTCTAAAATTTGAGCTCTCATTCCATCATTATCAACTTCACATATACTAAATTTTCCTCGTCGATATGTCTCTCGAGATCTATGAACATACATAAGAATAGCATCACAAACTATTCCAGCAATAACCATAAAACCAATACCCGAACCTGAATTTAGAAAAAAAGATTGAAATTTTATCAAAAACTTTCAATAAATGTTTTCATACCAATTGCTAAAAATAAATTGACAATATTAAATTGACCACCTTTGCCTGTAATCGAAACAACAAAACGTAAACCATAAACTTTTGTTAATGTTCGATAATC